TACGGCCTAGCCATGGTCGCAATTTTTGAGAAACGTATACACACGTTTAAAGGTATTCCCCCTAGTTTTTTTTAGAGGTTCGCCTCCGATCCTTCGACTTTACCCTCGTTTCTTGACGCTCACGCACGCACGCACGCACGCACGCACGCACGCACGCACGCACGCAATGCGTATATATGTATTACTGGGTACCACTATGGTATCCTTCGTGCGGGAAGTAACGTGGGTGTAAACCATGGAATGGTTTCCATGCATCGCACCGCGTATAAATGTAAATACGCACACATTCGCGTGCGTGTCTATCCGTCTGTCTGTTTGTCTATGAGTGCGTGTACGTGCGCGTGATATATCCCGCAGGATATTGGCCTAGGAGCTGCGTGATTGGGCGATAGCGCGAGCATAAGCGAATAAGTGCGTGTGTTACGCGTACGCATACGTGGCGATGCGCCGAAACCCGCGCTCCGCCCTATCACACACGCATACACGCACAATGGCGTAACTTTTACATATTTTTCTTGGCGTGCGTAATCGCTCGCGCAACGCGATACAACATAACGTTTAAATTCGACTCTTTAGAATTTGATTACCTTATTACGATACTTCATTTGGTTTTTAGCTTAATCTTAATGCAATTATAGTTAACTATATTATAGTAAACTAACCTTGTTAATTTTATCAGCTCGTAAGTATTAGACTAATTTACATACATTAGAAGTAATTCTGTTCTATTTTTAATCTGACCAATATTGATTAAGATATTATTCATGAAAACAACTAAATTGTCCGTCATTATGATTTATTTGTAATAGATAATAAATAATGAAAGAAATATTACAAACTCTTTGCTTTCTATTTAAGAATATGCGAAATATACATAATATTTAAGAAGCAAAATAATACGTATTTGGATTTCTTAGTTTTCTTAACAGAGTCTTTCAAAAATTTTTTTTAGATTCAAGCATCTTGAGCTGTACTAAAAAGTTGTTAATTATTAAAATAGTAACGGCGATTTCAACAAAGTACGGCTAACTTGTTGAATATTTTGAAATGTAATAAAGGAATAATAGTTTCTTAAATACACGAAATTAATGCAATTCTTCTTCAGCTCGTACGTGAAAATCTATAGTCCAGAGTATGTACTGTATGTATTTCCATGTATACGTGTGTATGTGTGCGATATCTCTCTGTCTTCAATCCAAAATTTTTCTTTGACTTTGACTCGTGCGTGATCGAGAAGAGATTAATAATTCGCATAGAGTTTGAATTTTCCTCGAAACTTCCGGCGTTCGCGCCTCGGAACTTGACAATAACAATCTCCGATGACATTTTCATGAATTTCCGGCGCGCACTTCGATTCATTTGCATTAATTTATTTCTTATATTAAAGAATTATTAGAATCGAACTTCCCTCGTGAGAAGGCCGTGATCTTGGCCTTACTGAAGGTTACGCCATTGGAACTACGCACTATACAAAGAAAGAAACCTCACATATACATAACTTTGCTACCCTAACGACTGTCACGATACGACCGACCGACCGCCGAATAGTGCCGGAGTCGCTATCCGGCCTGATGCAAGCGTCAGTGGTCGTTCGACGGGCAGGGAGTGAGGTTTCCAATGCGCCGGAGGGCCATCTTTTCTCTTTGGAGAAAAGTGCGACTTTCTTGCTCGCGCGCATGGTCTTCGTCATCGGTACAATCAGGGTTTGGGGGCGGAAGGTGGAGTGTCAAATAAGAGTATTTGTATATATGTGTGTGCGTGTATGTGTGTTTGCCGTTTTATCTCTCTATCGCGTCCTTATGTGCGGCTCGAGTTTATCAATATTGTAAGAATTAGACGACCGTAAGCGATCATGAAAGAGATTTCGGATTATAAACACCTAACAGAGAGGAGCCGTCGTGGTCGTGCAGACTAAGTGTCTTGTTTGTAAGCGAGGGATCTCGAATTCAAGTCCAGTCGGTCTCCGTTTATTTTCACAGCGTTTAAGTAAAGTCGCACAAGCACAATTAGATCGCGCATCGAAAATCATTAAATTTACAATACTTCTTATTTTTACAATAATTTTACAAAAATGAATAAAAAAGATTTAGATTCAGGTAAAGGTTGTATGTTGGATAAAAAATATAAAAAATATATTTATCTAGATATCTCGTTTCTTTCCCATTTTTGCACACGAATGTCTTCTTTTTCTTTCGTCTTTAACGATGACACGAAACTAATCTGCTTTTCGCTTGAGATGTAACAAGGTGTATTTGTGTTTGTGTATATAGCGTTAAATAATTTTCTCTAATTTAACATGTAGTTGCTACACGTATAACAAATGTGACGTAAATGTCACGTCAAAGCTGATTGAACAATTCATAGCGAGAAATAGATAAAAAAGTATTCAGAGTTTGCGTGAGGCAAACTCTTTCGCTTTACCGACATAAATAACATTTGTAATTCAGCTAAGATAATTTGTAATTCAGCTAAGATAGATGTTCACATTTCATTCTTTGCCTATTTTATCACTAATTTTATTAATATCTTTGCACATTTCTTATACACGTCGCTGTCTGCGAAAACGTTTGTTTTTTCACTTCCGATTCGAGATTGCGCCACCGCTAACGTTTTCTTTTATCTTGAGCTTTTTTTGCCTTGAGCTTTTCAATTTAGACGTGACGAGTAGATTGGTCGAGGATGATTCGTAGGTCGACCAGATTAAAACGTCAAAACTAATTCATTAGAGATCAACGCTTCCACGTATGCAGCGGTCACACTTATCTCTTTCTTATCGTTTCGCTTGTTCTTGAATTTTCATTGGGACGACCGGTCAATCGGACAAATATGGAAGTCGGTGAAAGTGCGTGACTCACCCTACGAAATGCAGATATCGACTAGCTTCCCCTCGTGATATGATTCTCTCCCCCAGCCAAACATCGATCGTTTCATTTGTTCTCATTATCTCACAATCATTTACAGAATAAGGTAATGTAAAAATGGGAAAAAAACGAGATATCTAGATAAATATATTTTTTATATTTACCCAACATAAAACCTTCACCCGAATCTAAATCTTTTTTAATTATTTTTGTAAAATTATTTAAAATAAGAAGCATTGTAAATTTATCTTCGATGCTTGTGCGACTTTAGTTAAACGCTGTGAAAATATTTTTAAACATATTTACAGTAAAAGAGAATACGAAATTAACGTGAAAATAATTTATAAAAATAACTTGTAAAACAACATAGACAATTGTGTTTGTAAGCTTAGTTAACAGTTTAGCCTTTGACTTTAACTTAAAATAAGAAGGAAGATTATGATGAAAAATGGATAATAGAAATAGCTAGATTTGTAGGAGATTTGTAGGAGTTTATTAGATTTGTCATGCTTTGCTTTGAAATCTTTACGTGCTAAGCGAAAAGATGAATAGAAAGGGTTAAAGAAATGTCGATGGTTTTCTCGAAGACGATTTTCAAACCAAACCATTCCAAGTGCAGATACTTCTAGATTTAAAACATGCACGAAAAATATTAATCAAATGATAATCGATGATTCGAAATTTCGGAGAAATAGCAAGAGTCACGTGCAGGAATTATTAGGGATTACATTTGCGCGAATCGCATTACACGTTCTACAATTTCTTCCATTTAATACAATTTTATATAGCATTATATGATAACTCGATATAATTATATCGTAATATAATACGCATTAATTAATTAATTAATTAATTAATTATTTCTACTAATAATTGTTTCAGTAATATTCTAAAATAATTAATACAAGAGGCTTTATTGTGATGGAAAACTTTTATTCATATGTTGAATATAATAAAATATAATTGTTGGAAAAACTAAAGAAAATTATTAATATCTTAATATTCTTTACAACAGAATGTTCATTTTATCTATATTTTGCAATATTTCTAAAGTTCTTATCGTATTTTTATCGTTGTGACCGTCGCGTTTTCTATCTTAGGTTTATAGTTATCTCTTGCCCTAATCGCTTTCAAACTTTGGGACATCTAATCTTGGCTAGGCAAATGCAAGTCTCGAAAATAGCCTCGGGATGAATTCGAATTTCTAATTAAAATAAATTAGCAGAAATGGCAAAAGCACGAGATATATAAATGTTTCACCGTAGGCATCTATTAACAGTTAATTATTATTATTCGCATATCAAATTATTCAGAAGGTGATTCTCTTAAAACATGGATTTTTCCATTTCGATTTGAACCTGATAGGGAGGGGAGGGGGGAAAAGAGAGAGAAAGAGAGAGAAATATCATATTTATTATCTAATATCTATAGATATTACAATGTACATAAATATTTAGCACAATTTTAATTCTCTATTTTTACTCTCAAAGAGTCTTTAAAATTTGGACTATATTAAAGACGAAAGAATAATTCGCTAATAATGATAGAGTTAGGAGCTAAAAAGTGGAAGGTAGAAATGTAGATTCTTTGTATGATGTAAATTTTTCAATGTAACGAATATTTATGCGTTAAAGATGAAAATTGAAGTCAGGTAAAGTTTTTCAGTTTTATCTTTAACGACGGAGCGAAATCACGTTACATTGCATGGGTATGACGGAAAAAATGCATGACAGCAAACACTTATGCATATTTGGAGAAATTCTTTGCTTCCTACTGTGAGCCCTTATCGTTAAACAAACTTGACATTTAGTAAATTAGATACCGCTTGGCAACTTTCGATATTATTTTGAAAAGATAGCTTTCAAATGAATCATTCGTCACGATAATTTTACGTTTATTAACACGAAGTATTATAGTGGGGAGAATCGCATGGCGAGCCGCATTTCTATTTTGTCGCTTGTCCGAGTTACATCAACTACGTGCTCTCTGATCAGGAGTGTGCTTGTTCCTACAGGACTTACGGATAAACCTACGGATAACACGAACAATCATCATCACGAATAGACGCCATGACTACTTCATCCCAACAATATTGCCTTCGATGGAACAATCATCGTTCAAATCTCTTGAATGTTGTTGACGAACTGCTACAGAACGAATCATTCACCGATTGCACCCTTGCTGTCGATAGTGGCCTAACAGTTAAATGTCATAAAATCGTTCTGGCCGCTTGCTCTTCCTACTTCCGTACTCTCTTCAGCGAACTGATATGCAAGCATCCGATAGTCGTGTTGAAGGATGTCAATTTTGGAGAATTGAAAGCGATATTGCAATATATGTATCGCGGCGAAGTGAACGTGGCGCATAAAGATTTGAGCGGTCTGCTAAAGGTCGCGGAGACGCTGAAGGTGAAGGGATTAGTGAACGAGCACGGGAGTTGCAGCGACATGGCGCGAGATACGTCACCGCCGCCGAACATTAGCACCAGCACCGGCGCGGCTCACAGCAGCGACCACCCGTCACCGCCGAATTCCACCAGTGTCTGCTATTCTCTTTACGACAAACCACTCACTCCCCTCGAACCGAGTCGCCTCGCGAGCTCGGGGTGGCCGCTGCCGCTATCCCTGCATTCCGGCGCGAGTCATCAGCCGACCTCGCTCTCCTCCGCCACCCTGAGCGGCTACGACAACGGCTACGAGTTCCCGTCGTTCAAACGCCAAAAGTTGCTGCAACAATCGGCAATGTTAATGAGCAATGATACACCTATACTACGTACGGTGCTCGGTCAAACTCACGCCGACAATTCGCAAGCTATACCACTCTTGCGAACGGATAACCACGAATCGGTGAATTTTCGCAACACGAACAGCAATGGATCTACGAATGACAATGAAAGTCGCCGCAACAACGATCTGGCCCACGGCGAGAGGCCCCACAGTCCGCCGTTCGCCGACGCTCAGTACACCGATGAAAGCGAGAAACGATCACCACCGCAGTCATATCCAGTCGTGGACACCAAGTCAGGTAGCGCTAACGAGTCAAATATCACGCAATCAATGATCTGGTCATATTATTATCTAAAAGAACAGTTTCCAATTATCTATTCTCACTATCTGCAAACACGGAATCTGAACAATTTTTCTCCCGAATTGTGCGAAAAAAGATCGGCAGGAGTTGGTAGCGTTAGAAGAGATACCGCGTATAAACAAGGTAAACAGGCTATTGTCGAACAATCACACGAGAATGAAAAATTACTTTTCCTGTATTAATTAATATTGATTTGTTTGTTCCTATCTTATGTATTTAATATAAAATTTATCACGACAAAGAGTGGATATTGCAATTCAGGGCAATAGCAAACTAGCAAAATCTTTACTCTCTGTTAAGAGAGCTCGATTTATAATTTCATAAACTTTTTCCATATATATATATATATAAGTATTTAGACGTGTTACATAACTTTTCATATCTCATCAAACAAACTTTCTATCTCAACTATCTTTCTATCTAAGATCCTTAGATTCATTAACAGATTGATTAACAAAATTAAAATTAATTATCAAATAAAATTAATATTATTAATGAATTATCTTATTAGATCTGGAATAATAAAATGGAATAGTAAAATTAATTTATCGATATAGGTATTGCGGATTGCGTCGCACCGAAACCCGAATGGAAGCGCTACAAGCAGTACACCCGGGACGATATCACCGCGGCGATTGCAGCGGTAAGTAATGGCATGAGCGCGGTTCAGGCGGCCCGTAAATATGGCGTCCCGTCGCGTACGCTCTATGATAAGGTGAAGAAGCTCGGTATTCAGACATCGCGGCCGATGAAGCGTTCGGGGGCAAGCAACGGAGGAAATGCGACCGCTTACTCGCACAATATTGGCGCCAACGTGAACGGCAGCCTTTATAGCATCGGCAGAAGTGTCGCAGCCGAAAACGAGAACGAGAACAGCAGCGGAGGTAACATCGCGGAGAATCTGGTCGGGACGAGCGGCACCTCGGTGGCTTTTGAGGCTTACGCGAAGGGATCAAAGGGAATCTCTCAGCAAGATCACGACTCTATACCGGACTCGATGCCGACTCGTTGCAGCTCGAGTGATCCGGTGATACGCTGTGCTAAGCAAAAGCAGCAGCAGCAGCAGCAGCAGCAGCAGCAGGACTTGGACGATCAAGTGGAAGATCTGTCGGTGAGTCGTAAATCCGACGTTTCGGCTGTAGTACCATCGTCCAGTGCAGCGACTCCGATTAAGAAAGAGATCCAGGAAACGAGCGAGCTGGATAACAGCGACCGCGATTACAGCTAACTTTTGCGATCCAATAAGCGAGAGCGATAAGATATACAAAGGAATTGTGGTAAGCTATCTCAAAATGATCTTGGTTTAGATATTTTACCGATTGTCTTTTTCAAATTTTCTCTAGCGCGATTTCAGTGCATGTAAAAGAAAAAAGCAAAATATCTAAAGCGAGATAATCTGAGTTTATTTCATTTATACATATAGTACGTATATACGAAATAATTTTATTTGATTTCTACTAATAATTTGTCGTCAGATTATATCGGCAGGGTCCGTTAGTAGAACAAAGATTAATGCAGAATTAAATCGATCTGCCGCAATATTCGAATGTGTGTGAATTATCTAGAAACAAATAAATTAGAAATAATCATAATACATTATTTATACTAAAAAAAAAAAAAAAAAACAAAAAAACTGTTAATTATTGCAAATTTATTAACGTTATTCATGATTTTCTAATGTTATCATAAGATATATTCGAGCCTAAAAATCGATCGATTCTAAAATTCTAAAATTTAACACGTATTGCTGCAAACCAATAAGATAATAATTTACATAAAAAATATGTCAATCAACAATCGTTTTTGAAGCTTTACAAGATACAATAATAGTACAAAGGAAAAGAAAAGATAGATGTATACGAATATAAGTATTTTAAAATTTTATGAAGTTCAAAATTTTATTATTATTTTTATTAAACTAGAATAAACAAACTTACGATTTATCATACGATATACGTATGTTTTAGAAATATTCTTGTTATGGGACATATTCATTTGTGTGCGATATATTATTTATAGTGATTGCAATTTTTTCACATGCATATAACAGTAATGTTTCGATTATTATTAACGAAATGATATAAAATTTATGAAATGATATAGTGGCGGAATTCTATAATAATAATAAGACGCAATAATAATAAAAATATTTTCAGGTGATATCACGTGATATCATGTACCCTGAAAATTTATTACTTGCGTTTGTTACTTGTTTGCGTACCTGAGATTTTGTACTGATTTGTTAGTAAAGTGATTTTTCAATGAAATCAAAAGATTTGAATTATCATGCTGATTTTAAAATTAGAATCAGCATGATAATTCAAATCGTTTGATTTCATTGAAAAATCGCTTTACTAATGCAAAATTCATATTTCTATGAATTTGTTACAAATCTAGTATTACAAATCATGAATCGCGATCATATTATTGCAGCAAAGTACAATATCCCGCCATTATCATCTCTTTATATGTTAGTGTAACAGGAAATAAAGAGTCTTATCTTGAATATAATTACGAGATTTCGTTTAACTTGTATTATTAATACATGCACTTTGTATTAATAATTAATAGTATTTTGTAAATAACGATTTTTATTAATTGACTTTTGTTATCTAGAATTAATTTTTGTTAGTAATTTTCATTATAGCATATAATCATCATATAATCATCATCATATATCATTATTATAGCAATATCATATAATCATCATCGTATATCATCATTATTATTGAGCATAACTCCATTTGCAATAATGCTCAATAAATATACTAATAACAATGATAATAACGAATTACCTCATATGAATTCTGTGTTCATTAGCAAAAGACTGATAAAACACATACAAAAGCAGATGAACTGAAATTTCAATACATATATGTATACATTTATATATATCTGATTGAAATACTAAAAACACTGGAAAAGTATCGAGGAAGCTTCGATTTGCGATTAAAGAAAACAATAAATTTTTTGTACTTATTATTTTTTTCTGTATTACATATTGAAAATATGTGAAAAAAATTAATTTTTGCATTTATTCAACAGTCTTTGAAGCGTGCAATCATTCTTTTGATCTTTAACATATATATTTAATTTTTGAACATAATAATTTTGCAAAGTTGTTACGTTTAACGTTTTAAAATTTCATGACTTTATTGATCTTTATTTTTTATATATTTAGGAAATACAATAAACGCTACGTGTAATTAAAAACATGTTGTGGAATATTGTTTCATTCAAATTCTTTGGATATACTGAAGGTGCGTGTAAAATGAATGGACAAGCAGGATCAAGAATTGATAATTTTTTTTATACTTCATCGATGCTTTACCTCTCCTCCTAGAATATAGACCAGACCAAAGGTTCCTTAAATATATCTACCTCAGTACATGTAAGTCATTCCATATTTATTGCAATAGAATTTTAATAGTGAGAATATATATTTACAGAGGAATATATGTATATATATATCTATATATCACAGTTTGATAAATATATATCAAATTGTGATCAAATTTCTATAAAGCACTTTCTATAAAGTAATCCGAATAATGTGAAAGATCTCTAAGAGTTAGAGTATGGAGAACAAAGGAGGTAATTTTTGAAAATCAACAAAATAAAAAATATGTCTCATTTTGATATAGAAGATATTTTACGTAGAACTAATCGTACTGAGATTAAACTGTACATCCTCTTTATCTTACTTTATCTTGATAAATTACGCATTCGATTTTTTTCTTTTAATTCCATACAACCTTTTATAAGATATATCATATTTTTACTCTTCTGCAGATCAAAATGAGACATTTTGTATATAAAAAAATATATATTTAAAAAGATATATGTGTGTTGGATTTATATGTCTAAATGCGACATATGTTTAAAAAAAGAAAAAATTAATTAAACATTTTAATAACCAGTACGTTTATTTTAATCTATATGTATGCATTGCGAAAGTACATTCTTTAAATATAATATATGATACATCGAGAGATTTCTCAATATGTGCCTTCATTCGTTGTTGCTAGTTTTTACAATGTGAGTGCGGCGCATTAATTATTTGCGTTGATTTTGTATTGTTATCAGCAAACTAATACGATACGTAGCAGTCCTATAATACGTAATAAAACTCAATTACCTTACACGACGTTTTCTTTTGTCCGTTTCCGTATGATTGTAAATAGTCACAAGCGGATAAAAATGCCTTTAATAATTAGCGAT